GATGCGCAAGCAAAGTAACAGCCTAATTCATGCAAATGTATAATTTTATGAGGAAGAAGTTTTGTTTCAAGATATCTAATAATCCTTAACTATAACTTAAAACACTTTACTAGCCTAAACAACCAGAAAGAGAGTCTGGCTCAACAGACTTAAGGCATATTTTCTCATTAAAAATATCATAATTAATTTTTTTAATTTTAAATTATAGTTTTTCAATTTTTAAGGTTTAATAAATCTAGTTTTGATTCTAACATTGTTTGTCTTGCTCAGTCGCGCGTACATCCTCTTCTCGTCTACTCAATGGGTTTCAATACTCTTCACTATTCGCATCCTCGGACAAATGGCCAAGGAAGTCGAAGATGCCGGGTTTGTGCGAATAGGCATGGCCTAATACGTAAATACAGTCTGAACATGTGCCGTCAATGCTTCAGAGAAAATGCTCATCAGATTGGATTTGTCAAGCTTGATTAAAACTAAATAAATTATGATTTCGAGTTGATCCGTCTTTTGCCTACTCACTATTGGTTACGCTGGTTAGCTTTCCTAAATGGATCTGCTATTGCTTTCCGCTTCTCGACGTACGCCTCTACTTTTTTTGATGTGGGTCTGCGTATGCTAAAAAGCCAGTATGTCTCCCCAAAGTCATGTAATTTGTAAGCTATCCTACATTTGCGAGCTATTTGCTGTCGCCGTTTACTGTTTTGCTCTAGCCTTTCATTTTTATTAATCTTAATATAGTTATTCCGGAACCTTCCACCGCAACGCACAGCAAAAAGCCTACAGTAGTTTCTCTGCTTTATTTAAGCATATTTATTTGGGCATGATTTATCTGCATTTGGCAACACCCCAACTTGGACATGGCTCATATTTGCAGCACAGCGTTGATCTTTTCTGGCAATATTTCTCGCAAAATATGCAGGTTGCTTCGCAGACTGTATTTCCACATTCCGAAACGCGACAGTTTTTCGCTTCAACACATGAACCTTGCACCCATTCTCCGGTCGTCAGTCTAGGTCAATTTCACTAAAAAGGATCTTACCCGGCAAAGCCTATCAAGGGAATAGGGACATTTGTAGTTCAAAATAAAAATCAGTAGATAGAAGAAATATATTATATTCCTAGTCCATTGTCTCATTCGTCCTACGCTACCCTACCCTGTGCTTCTCTCGCACTCTTGATGCGAATGCCCCATGATTTATATCATTTTACCGGCGTTGATGTGTATTTGTGTAGCAGAATCTGCTGGCGCTACTCGCTTTCTAAGCTTGCTTACTACCACGTAATTATGAATTTCGTATGGATAGCCTTGAGGTCTGACTATTAAACCCCCGGGTTGTGGTCACTTTCTCGAGGAGCTTTTGGAGGCAACCCTCGCTCCTTCGATGCCCATTCTTTCTTTGTTTGGGCCATCACTACTTGATCTCTCGGTTACGTGAACGCATACCAGGGCTGGGGTCGTACTTTGACTCGATGCTTTTATAGCAGGTGAGGTGTTGGTGCGCCGTTTTTGGGTTCCTTTATAAGTAAAGGGTTTTCTCCGTTCCTAAACGAACTTTGTTAGTGATCGCGTGGATGTAATAAACCCGTCGATTTTTTTGCATCCCGTGACCAGGTCAAGTTAGTATCTAAACTCTTGGCGCACGTGTCCTGTTATTTTTCTAGTCTCATCTCTTTGTATCACTCAGGGCAATTTTAAATAGTTTGGGGGATTTGACGTGGCAGATCGGCGAAGCTAAGTGACCTCATAGCGTGTAATTATCGACAACTGCGTCCAGGTCCTAACCCTTGAGTAGGGGTCAGAGGCACTTTGTAGCCTGCTAAAACTATGCCTTAATTTGCTAGAAGATTTGTATCTTAACTTAAATAGTCCCCGTAGGCTACTTAGTTGAAGTAACGCGAAATCTAGCCACCTCTACATCCTCTGCCATTGCAGGCATGACGATTGCCAGCATCCGACTGATTGGATTTAACTGTCGTAGAGAGTATAACAATTAAAAAGCACCTCGGTAGCTGCCGGTGGCATAGCCTCTCATTTATGATGTCCGGTAATGACCCAAGTTGGCGGCCTGGCTCGTTAAATTGTCGTTATTGTTATGTCATATAATGGAGGACTTGGTACGCTATACAAGGTATCCTTGTCACCCTAGGTCACTAGAGCGTGATCAGGCCAACGTATTCAGCATTACAAAATCACATATAATTAAAAGATGAAGCATTAAAACTTGATGACTGAGAGCTCTATTCTAAATATTTAGGCCGTTGTCTGGTCATTCTTAGTGCTGAGTGCACATGAACACACACAAGCACATTTCAAAATAAGTATTTTGCCTGAGCTAAGCAAAATGGTCTATTATCCATGAAATACATGGGCTTACCGGACAGGATGGATACCACTCATAGACGCTTTCGTGATGCGAAATTGACTAATTTAGGTGTTAAAATCAATTATTGTAATGTATTACATAAGGAAGGTTAATAAATTTAATATAACTTGTTTTAGCAAAAGTAGGATCGTTAAATCGTCAAGTATATCTACCGGTGGTAGAGTAACCCGTCTTGAAAAGAGGTCAATATTCTGCATTCTCAAGTGTGGGTAATTATTCTATGGATATACTGGATGAATAAACTAATTTAACGGATTAGCTG